ATCTCGGCGCTCAAAGGGTTAAAAAGTATTTATTATTGGAAAATTATAACAATGCAGTAGTACAATTTTACATAAAATTCAAATATGGGATTCGGAAAAGTTGAAAAAACTTTTATAAATCTGTCTCCCGTATCAGATCGTAACAAAGAACAAAAACAACTAAAAAAAACCACAAAAGACACAAAGTATAGATCTGGGAGTACTCGCACTCCGTTACTGAAAGCTAGTTCAAAGCCAATAACAACTAAATAGAAACTGTTAATGTCATTTCTGGAATCTCCAATATACTTATCAAAGATTTTTTATTTTTTATGATATATCATGTTCAAAATCATTGTACTTCTACAATTATTCAGTATATACACGTAAATAAATCTTATTCATTTTAAAATAGGCACGGGGGGGAGGGGGGGGGGGGGGTCTCAACATTGCCAGGATTTTGGGTACAGTTATGCAGCTAGGATTTAAAAAACACCCCCCATTCATATATTGAATAATTGTGAAATCCCTACCTATACATATATTTCACAGCGAAATCATAACCCATTCATATATTTATCAGCTCAAATAGTACCTAAATATATCACAATTGGTCAATTACTACCTATTGATATATTTCCTCGGTAAAATTGCACCCCATTGATATATCTGACGAATCAAAAAAGGGACCCATTCCAGCGGCACATATGTATATACCTTCATATAGGAAGAGACCCCCCTCCCGTGAAAATAGGTTGAATTTCAATAAGACATACTCAATAAATGTTCGATCTTCAATATTCAAGTTTAACTGATATACTTTTATTAGGTTAAATTTGAAACAATTCTAAACATAAATGTATCGCTTGAAATTACTACGACACCCCTCAAATATAGGACTCGCATTTCTTCTGCTGCGGTTCGGATCAAAATCTTAAAAACCCCAAGATACTTGTTGTTCTGTGTACACCTCTATCTGTGCCCCTCTCCGTGACGTTCTCTCATTGTGGACGTCATAAGCAGTACACTTGTTTTTTGAATATCCAAAATCTGCCCTGGCAAAGTATGAAATCGGCGTGGCAGTGAAAGGGTTACGCAACACTAGATTATTCTTTTTTATTATCATTTTCAAATATGCATTTTTTTCTAAAAAAAAAGATTTAATCATGAATTTCATTCATTTCTTTATTGTCTAAAAAGTGTTTGCATTTCGAAAGTTGAAACGATGACGTCATCTTTAATGTTCAAATCATGTGGTATGCACTGAAACCCTGGTTTTCCCCTTATCAAAAGATGTGTCACCGTCGAAGGCAATGACTGCCTGTAACCAACGCCAAAATGATTGTTAGAAAGGTCAACCAAGTCTGTTGGGCATGTTTTGAGTTCTTTTTTATACCTTCTGATTTTCCCTCTGTCCCATGCATTACAGTGTGTTTTGGCAATAAAACGGATTAAACTTTTGAGCTTTAAATGTTTTTATACAGACAATTCTTTGGCATTTCAGTATATGGGAAAAATTTTTGGCATGAATCTGTCTGCCAAGGCATTTGGCGCCAAGATTAGTAGTTGCCGTTGTGGCCATAAACATGTCTCGCAAATGACGTTGCATAATCTAATTTTATTGACGTGGAGTTGTCACTACATGTTGATCTGGTCATGGATGGTCATTAACAAATCTCGTCTGCCTGTACCATTGTTGTAAGGACAGTAAGGCGAGTTTCTGATGTGAAATTGTTTGAAAACAGCACGTTCACGTATTGCAGCCTGCAATATTCTTATGGTTTGATTAAGATTTTCATTGCTCAGTTTCGGAAATATAGAGATGCAACATTTTTTTTATATATGCAAGTTTGGGAATGTATTGAAAGAATTGTTTCACGAAAAAAACCCTTAAAACAATCAATTATGGGTTTCAAATTTCTCTCAAAGAAATTCGTGCGACTTCAATAATCCGGTATTTTCAATAATCTCTGGTAAGTCAGGTGTTGAATTTTTCTGAACATAAAGAAGTATGGTAAGCATGAATAGTAGTTCTATGATTATCAATCATGATTTTTAAAACGAAAACCCACAAAAATGTGTGTTGCGTTTCTAAAGTCCGTCAGTATATAATACACAGCAACGAACGACAACCACTAAATTACAATCTCCTGATTTGGGACAGGCACATAAATAATGCCAGTCAAACATATTTTTGTGCGTTGTAAATTACATCACAGACTTTCTTTATCCAAAGAATAAGTTCGAAAGTGTATAATTATTACCAATTCACCATGAAAAAGAAGGTTTATAATGTAATGTCTTTCGGATTCATACTAATTAAATTTGGTTAGCGATGCAAAATTTTAGATATTTAGCTTGCAATTAAGTTAAAAAAATACAGGGGAAATTGTCCTCATCTTTTTGCACCGAAGAATATCCGACGAAAACGGTATTTTTTTATCTATCATATTTTTGTTCATAAAAGACATCGTGAGTTTTTAGTAAAAATTAACATTTAAGAGTTAGACTAGTGTGTGAAATGCATTGCCTCTTTTAGAAAAGTATATTATATTCACGCACGTTAGTCGTAGCGAAAATGTATAAATTTCAATTGACAAAGAGAGGCACGTTTTTCCTGACTTTTATTGCAAACGAGAACTTTCCTTTTAAACGCACTATTTTCAAGCAAGTACAATGTAATCTTATATTTATACAACTCCTGATCTCTCCTCTGTTCTCATATTTAAATGAAATCAATGGATCCCGTAAAATTTACGACTCCAGAATAACTTTCATAGTTGATTTGTATTTGAAACATCGGTACTAAATATAACATGCTGAAGTTTTCTTTCTTATGCAACGATTTTTTTCCCTTTTTTTGGAAGAGGATGCATTTTTAAAAAAATAAAATGTTTGACTAAATGTCTTGAAAATGCATTGCTTGTTTTGAAATGGAATGGAAAAAGTAGTTTATTTGGATTTTCTACTGAAAATTATTTCTAATTTAATAGATTTATTTTTAATCCATGTATAAAAGTGTCCCGATATGACGTTCAAAATACGGTTGTCTATCAATTTAAGAAGGCGGGACAAACTGTCATTGGTATCCAATGTACAAAGTGTTAAATAGCGGTGATGCTTAAACACATCGAATGACATTGTCATGAATAAATGACAATGTTGTATAGACAACAAAAGGGGCTACTACATTATCAGATTGTTTAATCCTAATTCAAAATAAAGTTGAAATTGACAAGCCGCTTTGTAACTACTGTCATGATGTTGGGTGTAATTGGACACGTTTCGGCGGATAACAATTGTCAGACATTTTATATGAGAGGGAAAAAATCGGACACGTTTAAGCGAAGTAAATAATTGGATACGTTTGGGTGATTTGTGTTTTCAAGACACGTTTGGCGAAAAGGACACATTTAAGGTTATTGGACACGTTTAGGGAGATGGACACGTTTGAGAGTGTTACATATATAATACATGCAATTAAATTCTCAGTTTTTCTGCTGATTTAGATAATATACCAAAATTCTTTAATTCTTTAATATTTCTGACAGATAACATGTGGATTAGTTTGTATGCAGATGGATTTCTTCAATAATACTTTTTAATATACTTTTCTCGGATTTGACTATATTTTTGACATTCAAGTATAAAGAGATATATTACATATGGTTTGATGTTTCTTGTTTCTCATTGGTTTATTTGGTCACGTGTTTCCCAATATATATTTTGTATATTTTCAAACTTACACTATTTACATATAATATGTAATGAATAAATTAACTAAGAACTTTCACTCCGTCAACACGTTATATATGGACCTGTTAGATTATATTGAACCTCGTCAAAAGTCCATAATTGATAAATGATTCATCTACAATAAAGCTAGTGTTACAGTTTGTACATTTATCAACATAATAATATCTATAAATAAGAAGATGTGGTATGAGTGTCAATGAGACAACTCTCCATCCACGCCACAATGTGTAAAAAGTAAACAATTATAGGTCAAAGTACGGCCTTCAACACGGAGCCTTGGCTCACACCGAACAGCAAGCTATAAAGGGCCCCAAAATGACTAGTGTAAAACAATTCAAACAGGAAAACCAACGGTCTAATCTATACAAAAAACGAGAAACGAGAAACACTTATGAACCACACCAACAAACGACAACCACTAAACAACAGGCTCCTGACTTAGGACAGGTGCATACAAATGCAGCGGGTTTAAACGTTTTAACAGGCGCCAACCTTCACCCTTACCTGAAACAGTAGTGTAACATTACAACATAAAAAGACACACTATAAAATATCAATTGAAATGGCTTAATTCGATCAAAAAGACATATAAACAAAAACAAGTAAACATGCACTGAACGAATAAGTTTGATCTATGACAAAATATAAATACAATATTAATAAAAAAAAAAAAGATGTAGAACAATGTCAAAAAGACAACTTTAACCTGGGAAAAAAATGGAAGTAACGTACACAGATAAATTTAAATATAATAATTTTGTTGTTAGGAGTACGGAAATATTTTTTACAAAATAAATACATTTGTTGTTCACAGTACGAGTACAGAAGTGAAAATGTATCGTCATACTTAATACTTATCAAAGGTGGAACATATTAAAAATAGTGAGACGAGATATAACACAAAATAAGTAAACATTGAATAGCAGATTGTGTCAACAGGTCAAATAACACGAAAGTACGATTTGGGAGTACTCGCAGTTACTGAAAGCTAGTTAAAAGCCAAAAACAATTAATAGTAAAAAATCATGCATCAGAGACTAAAATCAATTAAAACACATCCCAGGGATTTAGTGTTTTAACGCCATGGACAGTCAAAGATGACATGACTTGTGAAATGAACTTTGAAATAAAAGTATCGACAGGCAGTATGATAGTTAGGATTTAATCTTATAATAAATATGTATCATGTTATATATCGATAAAGCAATCTCTAAATAGAAAATAAACGTGGATGTGTATTTATACATCCCAAAAAACCACTCGAAAAGAATACAAATTTAATTATGTTCTAATTTGTTGATGACAAAATCGATGTTACTGCCAATGTAAACAATATTAAAAGATCTTATTACAACATTAATAAGATAACATTTACTAATAAGTTTGTTTAACGTTCGATGAGTTTACACGGATCACATATAGAGTCTGCCTGTTTCTATGCCTAAATTATGAGCTGATATACGATATTTACAAATGTATGGTTTGTTTATATGATTTACAGATCTTTCTAAATAAAATTGCAAAGCATGTGTACTATACATGTATCTGGTTTATTCTGACTATTCCTGCAGTTTTAATTTTATAGGTAAAATATTAGAAATTCATGTTGGAGTTCCCAGAATCATCTATTGTTCTTTCCATGTAGGAATAGACAGAAACTGAAAATATAAATGTAGGAATAGCTAGAAGACACCATATATCTATATAAAATGACACATTTACTTAAATTCTCAAAAAACGCGGTTACTTCCCGAATATGATATAGGGTGTTTACAGATTAGAGAATAATGGACAAAAAGTGCAGAATAAATGGCTAAAAAAATAAGGAATAGACAAAAAAAAAGTCTCAAAATTTTTGTATGATTAGAAATTCTAAAGGTTTTTTGTGTATTTTAATGCTCACTTGTCAGGTACCGTTTTGTTATTTTAAAATCGATCAGGAATCTAGTCATTGTTACAAATATAAATACAGGTAGACATTGAATCCTATGTGTTTTCCCATCAAGTCTAAAAAAGACCAAGTTCTAATTGCTTCATTTCTTTAACGAGGAAAATAGCATAACCAGTTCCGTCAAAGCCATAACATTTGACAAAGCGCATGTTCTGGTCAGTCTTTTAAAAATCAGATATTTCGTGACTCGCTTATTTGTCGAAGCATATCGAAATATCAGTTCTTATTACCAAATCACATTTAATTCAATATTAGTAAAATTTTGCTATATCAGATTCATGACCCCCTTTTTGTGACATCAAAAACGTAAAGATAAGCACGATTTCTTCATACAGACATATCAAAATATCATTCACTAGCCATGATACGTATCTTTTCTTGATTTGTAAGCACAGCAAAAAGATAAACCACAGGCTTAAAGTAGCTTGAAATGCTTGAATCTATTCGAGTTTTCAAGTTAATAGGCAAACACGCTAAAATAACCCGATTGTTTCCTTCATATAAATATTTTTGTGGTATTGTATGATCTTGTATTCTAATTATTTTTTATGTCTACATTTTGTCTATTTAAGTTTTCAAGTTAATAGACGGAACATGAAAAATCTAATAACGATGAACTGTAAGGACAATAACTGAACAGATCCAATTACCAATTGGGTAGATCCAGAGCAGTTTCTTAGACCACAATCAGATATGGCAATGGTTCGCTCTTCGACCCGATGATTCAAATAAATATAATTGTCGACGGAAATGTACTTTTCCCCGAAACAGGCATACACAAAAAACTGCACTATTATCATTACATAAATAGACGTATTTACACTTGTATGCAAATTTGTCCGCCATTACGTAAAATCACACAGGTTCCCGTAAACTTTGACATCACAATTCAAAGCATTTGACGTCACAATTATAAAGTGATTGTTGCCTGACGTCAAAAGGTGATTCGGAGTAGATCTAAGGTCATTCGGAGGCAAAATATAGCTAAATACCAAAAGTGTAAATACGTTTATAGGCGCCAACTCTTTATAAAAAAACCTGAAACTCGAATTCTTAACAAAAGAAGGTATGCGTTTCAAAAAGCAATTATGACCATCTGCCTGATTGCATGATTATATAAATATCAAAATTTGCTGATAGTATCAATATTTACATAAGATATGCTTCTTTACAAATAATCATAAGAAATAACGAACGGTTAGATAACTAAACTGATAAAATGATTAAACAAAGAAAACGAACTTAGGCTTATGAAGCGTTTCTTTATTCATTTTTATACCGGGGTGTAAAATTGAAAAATTCTTATGAAGAAATTCCACTACATTTTTTTTCAACACCGATGTTGCTGCGCGTTGTCAAATATGACTATTTTTTTTTAATTTTGGCCAAAAATTTGGCTAAGTTATATATATTTTTTTAATATTGGTCCCAATTTTATTTTTTTTTGAGAATTTTTTCCAAATTTTTTGTTGTAATTTTTGCATTTTTTGAAATTAATGCAATTTTTTTCATATAAATTTTAAACCAAATTTTATATCCAGTGTAAATAGTTTAGCTTACACCCGGTAATTAACCAATTAGAATGCAAGATTCTTGTTTCATAAGAAATAAATCATATATGGCGTCTTATCATTCTAACGTTTCGCTAAAAGCCGTTATTAATTGTAACAAACAGATAGGTAATGAGCAACAAAAAGCTCTCTGGGCAATATGAAATAAAAGCAGAGTTCTTTTGCTGATACTAGTAATAAAAAGATCATGATCTTAAAGACCGATGTGTTAGTTGTTTTCAATTAAACTTTTGACGTTCCCTTTTTGCACGACAACTAGCCGACAATAAATTTGCAAAATGTCAGGGCTTCTAAAATAACAGAGGACTTAATGTATTGGATTAAAATGGCAGGGCATGAATATAGTGTCCATAAAAAACCTTCACGTTACGGGACATGGCTGACAACTTTTTTCATGGAGTACATACCCTGTAAGTGCGTTCATTGATATTATCATTAATTCCTCCTTTTCAAAAAGGCAAAGGTATGGAAAGGAAAAGTGTCGGTATGTTATATCAAAATAATATAGTAGATGGCGATTTGATCATGAAAACTGCACATTTAATGTTGACAGGCACTTGTAGACTGATGATCAAGCAACTACATGTGCCGCCATACAGGTAAGTTTATTTGTTGGTGTCACTGTTTTAGACAAAACAGAAAGTTTATTATTTTTATATTACAATGTATCGGGAAATGTGATAATCATGTTTTTATGTTAATTACATGTGGTGTATGTCTGTTGCTCTTGAATCTGTATCGACGTATACGGATGAAGGTAATCGCCTTCATCATTTTGTTGACAGTTTCCACAAGATAAACTTGATTTCTCACTCCCTCCTGATGATCTCCTTTTTTGAGAATTTATTTGAACTTCACAAGCAAGAACAATGTCTTTATCTTCCGATTCGATTAAATCTTCTTTTTCGTCTTCTTGTATACTCAAGTAGGAATGACGACGACTGCATATAAGATTTGGAGTGGACATTTCTTCTATTTCATCATATATGCTCTCTGTGGCAAACGGACTAATTAAAGCTGATACTGTTGCATTTTCGGACTGTTGATTACGCAGATTGTGTTTTCGCTTTAAACGCCTATAACCAATTTTAACCCCAGCAGCACAAAAAACAAACCAACCCACCAAACCTCCAGCTACTACCACATAGTATATGAAATTGGTGTCTGAAAGTAGAAATTTTTCATTTTTCATATAAGACTATCAAAATGCAATAGAAAAGTCGTATTGGTTATTACATTAAAGTTTGATTTTCTTTAAAATAATTTTCCATTTTTTCAAGTCACAACCACTCTTTGTTTCTTATAAGTATAACACATTTTCAACACAAAAAAAAAGAAAGTAAAAGAACAGTGTTCAAATGTCCCCCGCCGATGTACATAGTTTAAAGGCAACAACTCTTTTTTTTTCTTTTGAACTTCGTTAAAAATATCCTACAAGAAATGTAGGCATGAGAACGCGAACAGTGTTAATTTCCATGTAACTTATATATTTCCGAGGGTCTATACCTCCTGTAAAAAATAGTTGGTTGGCGTTGATCATCGATCTCTTCCAAATCCTTGCTAATATAAACATTTATTTCATAAAAAAAAATCTTGACCAGAAATGTAGGGTTGAGAGCAGCGCTTACAGTGCAATTTCCTTAAAAAAAATCGGGTTCCCTTTCTAAGGGACATAGCTCCTGTAAAATGATTGATTTGTGCTGATTATCGAACTCGTCCCATGCAGACATTATTGATACAAACTTTTGATATAAATTTCATAACAGTACAAGATATGTGAACATTGCAATTGTCCATGTAATTCATATTTTCAAGGGGCATAACACCTTTAAAAATAGTTGATCAGCCCAATGATTTTCGAACTCGTCCGAGAAATTGCTGATATAAACCCTTAATATACATTTCATAAAAATTTGGCTGAATTTTACATGTGAGAGGACGGACGCACGGACACATGGATGGTCGAGTCCGCACTGTACTTCTATGTCCCTCAAACCGCGTTGCGCAGGGGACAATAAAAACATATGAATTTTTTAAAACTAAAACAAACCTGGTGGCAGAATATCCTCTGTGTGTTGTTTTGTTTCTGTTGTTCTTATATTACTTGTTTTTGTCACGTGCTTAATCTTTTCTATTCCATATGTTGTTAATTTATGTTCCAAAACGGCACTGTTTCTATTTATTACTATGGGCTTCACAGATGATACTATATCTGTTCAAAAAATCAATATTCATATCTTATATTTTCATTTATGTTGACAGATAATGATGATCTATTTCTTATGTCATTTGGTAATTTAAAGGAAAAAAAGTCTTCACGGTAATCAGCCTGGATAGCAACTTTTATGGCTTTGTTAATATTTTTATAAGGTAATCCCAGTTTTAAAAGTATCGAAACATCACCATATTGTGGTCTTTACAAATCTTTGTCATAGACATTTGAAAAATAGTTTTCTGTGTACAGTTTATAATATTTACGACGGATGACTTAATACAAGTTCTTAAAGTATTCTGTTCTTCATTTATCCGAAATATAAAGTTGAAGCAAAATCAATTAATTGAGTGCTCTTAAACTGAAGGCTAAAATCCGTCAGCGGATTTATATAATTTATTAAATTTTTGAAAAAAATACCTTTTATACTTGTAGATTCATGTGTAACGGGCAATTTGACTGGTATGATAGTTTCATTCCTCAATGCTGGATAAGTATTTATGCAACCAATTTGTCTGTCACATCTAATTAAAAAATGAAATTAGTTATTTTTCTCGTTTTTAGTTGTTTTACATTTGTCATGTCGGGGCCTTTTAAGCTTGCTATGAGGTATGGGCTTAGCTTATTGATGAAGGCTGTACGGTGATCTGTAGTTGCTAACCTCTACTTTTTGGTCTCTGATGGAAAATTGCCTAATTGGCAATTAGATCATATCTTCCCATTTAAATTTTCTAATTTTAAGATTTTAGAGCTTGATACAAGAAGATAAAAAAGGATATGGGGCATCCATCCATGACAAAAATTCAATACATGCACAGCCAAAAACACAAAAAGCAAAGTAACAGCGCTTTTGAACGGTTGATGTTCTTCATCTGAAAGTCATAGCGAGGAGCTTTCAACACGGAGCAAAAACTCTCACCTCACTTAAAGTTATTCTTTGCAAACTGGCAATCACGCCACAACTGTGAATTGAAGAAAAGAGCCATGTAGTTATATCAATAAAATAAATTTGGCAAATAAATCAAACATGTACTGTCATAATTGGCACGACAAGCACACTGAAGCGTTCAAAAACAATGTTAACATTTAGACAACCACGGGGCACATCAAGATATATGTTAGATATCTTGGCATAAAATAACGTATTTATAGGGCAAATAATTCGGATAGACTTTGTAAGATGTAACATTGTATTTTATGATTCAAAGAATTGTACGATAAAGCTCCGGAAAAGGGAATACATTCGAAAACTTAAACAAACAAACTAAGCTTATCAGACTAATAGTACAAATTCAAATACATTGTGCATTAAAATCAGGTTTTGCATCTTCTTTGTTTTAAAGTTTAATCAAGATATTCGATATGTTTCGTTCGGATAATTTTTTCTTAATATTTTGCAGTTCAGTTTTATATTTTAAAAGAATCTAACTTATTGCTTACTTTTGATTCAATTCGCAGTTACAATTGTGTTTGCAAATGTCTCCGTATGTGTTAGGGGGACAAGGAATACATCTCTTTCCATCTGTTGATTTGCTTCCTGGTTTACATTCTGAAAAATAAATCACGATTCAGATTTAAAAGTTAATTCAGCTTGGTGCTAGAATTGTGATAATATAGAAAAGGCAAAAAACAAAATGTAATTACCTTTGCATTCACTCTTGTCATGATAATGATTAAAACAACAATAAGGCGTTGGTTTATCTTTCATGGCTGTTTTCTTCCTACAATTAAAAGTTATAAGAGAAATAAAACTAAGAAATAGCAGTATTTGAAAAGAAACAAGATGATCTTTTAGAATTCAATATATAATATATATGTTACAGTCATTTTCTGATTTAATCACATTGACTGAAATTACAGGCAATTTATAAAATGACTAAAATTACCAAGTCATTTTGTCAAATGACTGAAATTTTGAAACACAATTCAATGAATTGCCTGTTTAATTTCATGACATTTTCATCGAGACATATATGACAAAAAACACAGATCTTGCAAAGAAAATAACTAATGGTTCGGTGGAATTAAGTTTATTCTTCAAATACCAGCTGGGAATCCGGAAAGTTTGTATGTCTATAATTAGTTCTTTTTGGCGAAACTGCGTTAAGTATGAACTCTTGTCATGCTGGCAGAAGGATAAACTGTTCTTGTAATGGAATAAAATTTATAAAAGATTTTTTTATAGAAAATATAGATTCTAACCAGAAGTGTGTAATATGAAGCAGAGATTAAAAAAGGGATTTTTTTACTGAGTGATTTTATTTGTTTGCGTTCAGTAGCAGATTGTTCATGCATATTTAGGAAGAGAACACATTGATAATAAGTCAAATAGGTATGTTCTGCAATGGGTTGACCCTGATAAAGAGGACTCTTGGAGATTTTCAAATGTCGCTTAAAACTTCAAACTTCTCTGGTGTTTGTTACATCGCTCTCTGAATTTAAGACCAGTCTGTGTAATCAAATTTTAATAAGACGCACACCCCCTATTCTTGATCCCCATTGCTTTCTTCTTTAATTTTTTCACTTTCAAACAATTATGGGGGGTTGGGTTGGGTTGGGGGGTTGGATGTCAATATACCGTTATTTACACATCAGACCGTACTGATTACAAGAACTTTGAATACACCAAACCAGGTACTTCATATCATATCTGAAATACAGGCAATATATGCCCTAAATCTTAGAATTAATTCATACATTTTTGTATTACTCAAAATTATCAGTCAAAAGTTGTTCTACAAGGATCCCCAGTACTTAACCTTTCTTTGATACCTAAATACCAAAATGTATTCTAAATAGTTTAATATTTACACCTATGCGTAGGAACAATTTTGTTTTAAATATATACTACGTGTATGTTGTTTTTGACTTGGCCCGAGTTAGTGGTGTTACATCTTGTATAGTCTACCCGTATTATTTGCCCTATACATACGTTATTTCCAGCCAAGTTATCTAACATATATCGCTATGTGCCCTGTGGTTGTCTTAATGTTTGTATTGTTTTTTACACGCTTCAGTGTGATTGTCTGGATAAATTATGACAGTACATGTTTGATATCTTTGCCAGATTTATTTTATTGATATTACTCCATGGCTTTGTTCTTCAATTCACAGTTGTGGCGTGATCGTCAGTTTGCAAAGAATTCCGCTCAAACCGGTGCTAGGGGCCCTCCTACACTTGCAGTGAGGTGAGAATTTGTTTGCTCCGTTGTGACTTTATGATGAAGAACAGCAATAAAAGGGATGTTCCTTTGTTTTTTTTTGTTTTTTCCTTGCATATATTGATTTTGTGTCATGTATGGATACCCATATCCTTTCTTTTCTATTATGTTGGATAGGGACATAAATGTTGCTTTCCAACAGGCCACCTACGAAACGGTAATTAGACGAGTTCTTCACGTGCAGACATCGTGGCACTCTCCTTTCACGAGGCATCACATATTTATGTCCGTCCCTGTCCAGAAATAATGCGAATTTGTACATCCTGAACAGCCAAACGGATTCCCCTCTATAGGCACGAGTTTCACCATACAAGGTCGTGTTTGGTTGTGATGCATCTTTACCGTCTCAAAGGAATTCTCTGGACTTCACAATCTAATGAATTAAGGCGACAGTAGTTTACCGATGTTACAATCTGAAAAATCGACCAAGAAGAGACAAATAACAAACCCTAAGGGAATCCTGATATCACCCGCTATGCTGAGATCTGCTTCAGCCTGTTGTATGCTCTGATAAGCCAAACAATATAATTAAGTCAACACACTCATGCTGATACTGTATGCATTGCAACTCATTTTATTCAATTTGTTTACTAAACGGTTTCTTAATTTTATTTGTTGTCTCAAATTTTTAGCTTCGATTGCTTTGATATGTAGTGCTTCTCTTTACATTTTTCTTATCTTACCGGTGCTGACCTCAGTGCTGTTGAGTGACCCAGAGATGCGCTTGCCACATGAATTGCTGTTTGTTATTGTCATTCATTTCTATCGTAATTTGTATATAAGCTTGCTAAGATTTTTTGTTTGTTTGTTGCATGACTGTATTCAGTTTTATGTTGTATACGTGTATGAGACTTTGTTTTTGTATTCGTTTTCATAGACGGAAAAAGCTCACCAGAGCTTATGTTTATATGTTTTATACTTTATCGAATTAAAATAAAGTATTCTAATTATATATCTAATGGCATAGGACAGAGGCTTTACAACCAAATGTTTTGACTGATTGATGTATAATCACAGCGACCAGCTTTTATTATCGGAGAAAGTCGTGTGCAGGGAGAGAACCACCAACTTTTGGCAGAAAAACTGGCAATCCTAGTCAATAAAGATCGAGTCGAACGAGCAGGTTCGTACTCACAACCTCAGTGAACACAAATTATTCCATATTAGTGCACCAAAATACACAAATGTTTTCTTTAAAACAATGTCTTTGGCTTTGGCAGTTGTATTTTTATTTTGTTGATAATGGAACTAAACCTGCTAATTTGCAACATTTACATTTTGTATATTTTCTTTTTGATTAGGGAGGTGCCAATGCATTGAAAGATTTGAATATCAGATAATGTGTTTGCGATCTTAACTTTATGCCGTCCCTCCGATAAATAGGATTTGAACCATTCAAGAATATCTTTAGAGACGTTATAAATTTCGAACTTTTTCAATAAGAAAGATTGTTGACCAAATCAAATGCCTTTTAAGAAATATAACTCCATTTTTTTAATTTTTTTTATCAATATTAAGACTTATTAACTCATCATCCTTAAGTTTGGTATAATTGTAGTGACACGTTAATGTATTACATTAAAGTCTATAATTATCAGGACTGCATTCAATTACTCCTTAAAAATTGAGCACACTATTGCAGATTTAAAAGTACTTTTTGGAAATTTTGCAGATCTTAAACTAAGGTTAAAAATATATCTCAAAGAAGGTGCAAGTACTACACAACAGATGCATTAGTTTTTGCGAACTACATCATCAAGTACCGTTGCTTTAGTTTTATCATGGAGGTGATATTATATAATGTAACTCATGGTTATATTATATAATGTAACTCCTTGGTTTTATCAAGTATTTTCCAAGATAAATTAGGGTCTGGATGGGGGTCTTTCATTTCTGTATTCTTTAATTTTCTAGGTAATTTTTCTCTATTCTTTATACTTTTTGCCCATTGTTCTCTATTCTGTATATTTTAGCACCACATTATTCTCTATTCTTTATTGTTTTGGCTTATTTTTCTCTATTCTTTTTTTTTTGCCATTTATTCTGCACATTTTGCCCATTATTCTCTATTCTGTAAATCCCATCCATACCCTCATAACTGTAACTCAAGTATTCTCATTTCTGGTACAGGAAATTTAGCATCACCGCTTTTGCCATAAAGATCAGAACTCAATTGACCCTCATTGTCAGTTTCTAAAAGTACATGTAAGTCAAGATAGGAAACAGACAACTGTTTCTGTTTTATCCTTTATTTAAAATTCAACTTCGGTTTGTTTATAATCTAAAAATGGAAACAGATGTAGTAAAACAATTAAAAAACTAACAAGGAAATCATTGGAAACAATCGTATTCAAATCAGACAAAATAATACGTATGACTACAGGGAACTATTGTGATGACTACAGGGAACTATTGTGACAGATATTTGACATAAACTTTGGACAAAGGTGACGTTACAATGATTACTAAAATTGTATGTTATTAAGAAAGGAAAACATTTTGTTTATCACTATTATATCAAATCGTTCTCCGGTCAATTCAAATTAATGTTTTATCACCATTGTCAAGGTGACCTCTATTATATTTTAGAATACGCAACATTTTGACCCAATTTCGGACAGTTACCATATTTGTTAATTTCTAATTTTACGCTAAAAAGAAAGTGATGTTGGCATAACATCAATTAAATGACTAATAGAAGTAGTTCTTCTGTTGAGAGTATGTCAAGATTCATAAGGAACAACGCAACCAATATAACAACTAACTAGATATCAACGATATAATTTCTATTACAATGAATGGTGGTCATTTTTCTACACAATAGAACTGTTAAAAAAATCGGTTAGATATACAAAAAAATATATATTATATTCCGAAGATATCCAAAAGATAAGATGCCCCTAATCTTGGAATTTTGTACAGGTGTTTTTGATACATTTAATGTAAACATGATTTTAAAAAGTAAAAAAAATCTGAAATCTATGACACAAAATTTAAAGAACTACCTTTCCAAGCCATAATTTTTTTCAGTCAATTTCGATAAAATATTTTTTGAATAAGATTAAACAACGAATAGTTGACCAGACTTTTAAAGAAGTTGTTGATCTTGTGTCATGTATGAGCCCAATGTGGAAATTCCAAGATCTAGGAAAAAAAGTTCATAGATTCCTAAACCCAGTAAATGTGCCAGTTTAGACATATTATTGACAAAATTAAATGCGACGTAACACCGTTACTTCCCATACATTCAACAATTCATCATCTGAAGAAAATGAAGCTGTGCAGTTGCTTAAAAACAGAGACGACATAATAATAAAACTAGCAGATAAAGGCAGCGCTGTTGCCGTCATGGACAAATGTGATTATATTCAATAGGCAGAACGTCAACTTTCTGATGAAAGATTTAAGAAGAAATAAGACTCTGACCCAACTCCTAAATTCAACAAAACAGTCACCACAGACCTGAAAAATATGTGTGAACAGGATCATATAGATGAGGA